TGGGACGGAGATTCGAACTCGCGACCCACAGATTGCGAGTCGAGCTCCCTAACCACCTGGCCATGCCGGGTCCTGACTTTTATGATTTTAGATATTTTTTAACTAGTTGTAAGTCGTAATATCATTCTGGCAATTTCATTTGACATCTACATAGCCTATGTTTTTATCCATAAAATGTAATAAGAATTTTACATATTCTTTTGGTACTTGTAAAAACAACATTTATAAGTTTTACATGTTGATATGGCACTTATAAAGCCTTTTGGGAAATTGATTGGCTATTATGGCATTTATAAAACCTAATATATGTTAAAAATATTAATATGCACCTATAAACCTTTTTATGTATTTACACATTATTTTAACACCTATGAAACCTCTTGTAAGTTCTGCATAATAATATGTAATCTACAAAACCTGTTATAAAAAAATTATATTTCCATACGAATGTGATCTAAAAGTTGGATCTTGTAACCTTACCTGCAGGATTCGGCGTCCATCTTTAAGCCAATGAATAATTGGTGATGGATTTCCTTCTGCTTCGCACTCTAGTGTTGCACTATCAAAAGGCGCTACTAACAGTGAACTGCTTGACGGTTTTTGTAGTCTAATTCCTGGTTTTGGAACATAACGTCCTTCTAAAAGGAAAATTGAATACAACGATATCTACAAATATAAACGTCTGAGTTGATTACTTCACCCGTCCAGTGACAAAAAAATTTAACATGATATTTTGTGTATAAAATGAGTACCCCTTTCTTTTAACTCGTGTCATATAAATTGCAAGTATCGTTAAGCCTAAAAACATGGACGCTATAAATATGACACCATTATAAGAAAAATAAAGCTATACAAGTTTACAGTTCTAAGTAACAAAGGAAATCTTATATACAACTGATATTCAAATATTATATAACTCCCTGAAAAATTTGATTAGTAAGAAAATACGCACGAATAAGGCATATGTTGCCTTGCCACTAAATCTTGTAGTTGATTTTAAGTTTACAGTTTATGAACGTTTCTTATGTCGCTGTATATTAATATTCATTAACTCGTTATTATGAAGTTTTTTATATCGTTACTATAAATATTTCTGATTCCCTTACCTTGTTTAGAGTCCTGACGTGGTCTCAAACTACTAACCTAGAAAAGGCGGGAGAAAAATTAAAACATTTTAAATCTGTATTAGCAAGTCTCAACTTTTGTTTTACCCTCCATACGAAGAGCTCTGAATAAAATTTTATTTATTGTGCTCGCCATAAAAAACTACCCCCAGCCGAACGCTTATATAATAGGAAAATTAATTCGTTACTTTATGCTAATTTTACATCGAACTGATTTCCCGTTAATTTCTCTGATAAAAAGAACCGCGAATAACTGCAGTGATTTAAGTAGACTTCCCGAGTGAGAATATTGGACTAAGTTTTCCGAATTAGTGTAGAGATAATAGAATCTGGACAGTTTAAATAAAAAGGAACGAAATATTTATTTATTACAACACAAAAACACTGAACACTGAGCGCGTATCCACGTGCGACGACGGACAGTCCTCACTTCAAGCTATGCTACCATTAGTCCGAAGTTTCCTTCCCGCGAGATGGATTACCTCAACACTAAAATGCTGAACGAACTTCGAAAGGTCTTCTTTCTACAAATCTGGGATCAAAACTGATACAAAGAAAATTCCGGGATTTGAAATGTCAACTTGCTTTCTTTCTTTAGGAGATAAAAATCACCTTGTAACCTTCGTTCTCCGACAGCATTGGTTAGCTATCACATTTACTTAAGTGTGTGTGAGGTTAAAGGAAAGAAGACGCACTATATGCTTATTTTGTTTTTTCCAAGATGAACTAAAAGGCACCGACTCTGATAAAAAGTCAGTTTGTTTGATAGTCGCTAGATAGACAGAATTTAATTCAACAGTCATGTTGAAGACAGGGACTAAGAATCAGACAGACTAAACACGTGTGTGAATGATAATCAAGAATCAGACAGACTAAACACGTGTTAATGATAATCAGTCACTTACCCCTGAATTTCTCTTCGAATTAGTGAAGTCATTGAGTCGGCTCATGACGAAAGGCAAAATGAATGTAATGATGAACAGCCGGAAATCCATAAGGTACATCTTGGCTGTAACTAACTTCGTTGACAGTTGCGATAAGAACACCAAGTGGTTAGAGGTTTAACGACAAAAATATGATCGTTACCTGCGAATGTCTTTAAGTTAAAATAAATATTAGCTAAAGAAGGTTGTAGTAGAATAGCATACAAAATGTAAAACAAAGAAAAATTTAGTTTGACCATAAATCCAATTAAAATAAATATTAGGTGTTAAAACTTTAATATTATGCACCTTGTGTACTTTTACTATAATTAAAAATCAACAAACGTTTAACAAGAACGTTAGATGTTAGCAACAATTGTATCATTAGTTATTAATGCAACTGGGTTTGGTTGAAAAGTTTATGTAGTACAGAAATTAGTGTATTACATGAGGCCCGGCATGGCTAGGTGGTTAGGGGAATCTGAGGGTCGCGGGTTCGAATCCCCGTCACACCAAATATGCTCGTCCTTTCAGCCGTGGGGGCGTTATAATGTGACGGTCAATCCCACTATTCGTTGGTAAAAGAGTAGCCCAAGAGTTGGCGGTGGGTGGTGACGACTAGCTGCCGTCCCTCTAGTCTTACACTGCTAAATTAGGGACGACTAGCCCTCGTGTAGCTTTGCGCGAAATTCAAAAACAAACAAACAAGTATTACATGAAATATCATTTTAAAATTCTCACAGATAAATGGCTTCAGAAATTATATGATTCGATACTGCGTTTAAATCTGTGGACTATTATACGACCAACTTGTGACTCAGGAAATGTCTAGATCTTCATTAATTTTGACATATACTGTTAGTCGAAAAATAAACATACTTTTAAAGGCTTATGCACTAGTTTCTAACAGTTCATTAAATCTGAGAGTAAGGTTTCCCTCCAATAGGTGGCTACTCGAACAACCACTGATTTGAGAAGCAAGCTATATTTAAATATTTTAATTATTTAAAAAAAAACGAAAACCCTCAGCTAATTTATCTTTAAGATATTAAGACTGGAGATACTGTACATAATATTTACTCAAACTACAAATTCCTATTTTGACTCGCTCCCCCCCCCCAGTGGCACAGCGGTATGTCTGCGGACTTACAACACTAGAATTCGGGTTTCGATACCCGTGGTGGGCAGAGTACAGATAGCCCTTTGTGCTTAACTATAAACAAACAAACAAACCTATTTTGATTCCACCAGATGTAATTCTACATAACAGCATGAAACCAAAATAGGGGTTTGTAGTTTGAGTAAGTAATGTTCACAGTATCTCCAGACTTGTTTCCTTACCTTCTTACAACCCCAATTTTCAGGTTTTTAAATTCCCAATTTTTTATTTATCTTGTATCGTGTTGAATGAACGGGAGGGCGTGAAGGCAGAAATCGCTGACCCATTCATTGTCTTTCCTTACTCATTCTAGTGAAACCCAATTGAATGAACGGGAGGGCGTGAAGGCAGAAATCGCGGACCCATTGTCTTTCTTTACTCATTCTAGTGAAATCCAATTGAATGAACGGGAGGGCGTAAAGGCAGAAATCGCTGACCCATTGTCTTTCCTTACTCATTCTAGTGAAATCCAATTGAATGAACGGGAGGGCGTAAAGGCAGAAATCGCGGACCCATTGTCTTTCCTTACTCATTCTAGTGAAACCCAATTGAATGAACGGGAGGGCGTGAAGGTAGAAATTGCTGACCCATTGTCTTTCCTTACTCATTCTAGTGAAATCCAATTGAATGAACGGGAGGGCGTGAAGGCAGAAATCGCTGACCCATTGTCTTTCCTTACTCATTCTAGTGAAATCCAATATGTTTTTTTAAGAGTAATTGTGATTTCTATCCAACACAGCTTTTGTGAAGGCCCAAATTAATATCAGCATTTTTACATTTGTTGAAAAAAAAAATCAGCTTATATGAACTGTAATGAATAATGGTATGAAAATTTGTCACGTGAAATAACTTGTGGTATGTGTGATTTTTGTATTCATTCAAAGTTTTAACCAGACTTCTCAATCTTTCGTTTATTCTAATTTAATATTATTTAGTTATTAAAAAAAAATAAATCTAACGTAAAATACAGACATTTTTGTAAGTACAAATGGTAATATGACTTGATTTCTATTTCCTTTCCGATTAAAAATAAGTTGGACCAGATGGACTGTCGGGAATTTTTCTTAGTACAGTCTAAGAAGCTGTATATGTACACATGGTGAAACTGACACATGCCGTCACGTAAGGATAACACATAGTAATAGCCGCGTCAAACCAGTGTCATGTGTAGTAGTCCTTGCTGAAAACAAATATACATATATGAAAGGAACTTTGGAGAAGAAACGGCTGAAGGTGCACGTGAGGTAAAGAGTACGTGAAATGGATCACTCGTCTTTTACTATTTCTGCCGTTTCATTCTAATAAGGGACGAGTTGTTAGAGTGAGTTCAGTTTCGAAAGTCATAAAACAGTAAACGTAATAAATTGAGGTTCATGGCATATTCTGGTGTGTCTGCTAATTTTTTAACCTGTCTGTCTGTTTATTCGCCGATTAACCTCTGTACATGTCTGGGTACTTATCAGTCTATATTTATATGTCTGCCTTTTTATCTGTCTAACAATTTATTGGTCTGTCTATCGATTTTCACTGGTTATCTGTCTAATTAGATAGCAGCTCAGTAAGAATCCGAATTTTCATCCTGAATGGAGAGGTCAGAAACCCCTTGAATTCGGTTATAGGCGTCTACATTTTGAACTACTTGCAGAGAGAAGACAACCACCGCCACGAGGACTTTGTCCACATCTTTTAACGAAAAAAAAAAAGGAATGACGGTTACTTTCGTAATGCGCCTACAGCTGAAAGCGGGAAGCGTGTTCGGTGGCATCACATCTCGAACTCCGGACCTTTAGATTTGCAGTCCGGCATGGTAGAAACTAAACCAAACGGGATCCAGACATTTTGTTACTGGATATTTCATTACCGCCACATTGTTACCAGGACAACGTGTGACGGGTGAATTCTCGTTACGTCATTTTTGTGACATGGCATTTTTTTTTTTTTATTACGAATACCGAGTTTGTGGCAGGTAGTTTTTGAAATATAAAATCGAATGGTGACAACAGTAAGAAATGATACTAGATCGTAAATTGTACAATCAATTGGGGACCATTTAAAAATTACATAACGCTATGTAATTTAGAGGGTTACTAAGCCAATATTACGATGTGTTACGGGGGTGTCATGAACAGTGTTACATAAAACACAAATTACAGCGAAAATTATTTAGGTCTACAAAAACATTTATTGTAATTTAACATACTTTGATTTGAATTCAAAACCCCTTTAATAACTTGAACATTTGCAGCTTTATCAAACTTAAACATTTTGATCCCCCCTCTGTGCGAGAGGAGTGACGTGGTGTCCCCCGGTACTTTAATTAGGTAGTTGTGAATCTAGTAACAAAATTCACCAATCACAAAAAACACGCCCCTCCCCAGTGGTACAGCGGTATGTCTGTGGACTTACAATGCTAGAAACCGGGTTTCGATACACGTGGTGGGCAGAGCACAGATAGCCCGTTGTGTAGCTTTGTGCTTAACTTCAAAGAAACACACAAACAAATAAATAAATCGATACCCGTGGTGGGCAGAGCCCAGATAGCCCGTTGTGTAGCTCTGTGCTTAACTTCAAATAAACACACAAACAAATAAATAAATCGATACCCGTGGTGGGCAGAGCCCAGATAGCCCATTGTGTAGCTTTGTGCTTAACTTCAAATAAACACACAAACAAATAAATAAATCGATATCCGTGGTGGGCAGAGCACAGATAGCCCATTGTGTAGCTTTGCGCTTAACCACAAACAAATCTTTCTTTCATCATCCCCTTCCATTTTTATTTTTTTTTCACCTAGTTCTTCATGTCTCGTTTGTCAGGTCGTGGAGCCTTTACTATTTGTATAAATAATCATCTAACTGTGATGTACATAAAAATTATATATCTAAGTCACAAGATTTTATAAGTGAAAATATACAGTAGAGAGTGAGAAACGGTTTTCGCAAAGTAACTGTTGTCGAGTTCGAAGTGTTAGCAGTATGTATCTTTTTTTTGTGTGTGTCTCCGCAAAGAGACATGCTGTTTTCTACTGTTTCTTCTTCCAAACACTATTCAATCGATCGCCATTCCTTCATCTCTCAGTGGATTGTCTTAAAACTTGGTCGGATTATACCTTGGTTCAATACGCCTACATGCTCTGTTCATGCTTTTGATCTAAGCCTTTTTAAGTATTTTATGGGGTGAAAGATCAAACAACCCCAAAGTGTATATTTTTGGGCTTCTGTGCTATTATATTTACAGCAATCAAGATGAAAATTGGCAGAAATATAAATTTTTCAGGTGCCCAATACACTGACACAAAAATAGGTTAGAATTTTTTCCTAGTTTGAGTCATTTGTGTGTGTGTAGGGATGGGTGGGGGGCAGAGCTTACAAAAAAGCATACTTTGGGGGGAGGCCCGTATTTTGACCAATTCACATGAGATTTGATACAGTATCAAATATACTTTTTATGAGCCCACACACTGACAAACAAAAAATGTTGAACCTACCCATTTTTAGTTATTTTAGGGGGGCAAGATGCCATAAAAAGCACAGTGCTAGGGCGTTTTGACAATTACTCCGCCGTATTACGTGAGATTTGGTACATAAATACTTTTTTTACAGGTCCAAAACAGAAATATAGAAAATTTTTTGTTTTTTGTTCAATATTTCAGCGAGGAAAGCACAATTTGGGGTTTTCGTGAACTATCCATGTGTATATTAACCAACTTACGTGGGATTTGGTACAAAAATTCCTTCTTACAGACTTCGAGCAGTGATATGGACAGTTTTCGATTTTTCTGTGTTTTTTCACGATTTTTCTCGTGTCAAAATTGACCAAGTTAGGATGGCGTGGTGGAGACATGTTGTATTCGTCCGCGAATGTTGACCTCTATAATTTTAGATGTTTTCTTCAGATTTATCTAACTAAATATACTTACATAGTTCTAGTATTAAATAATGTAGACGAAACGAGGCTGAAACTCCCTTATAATCAATACTCTTCAATTGCACATAAGAATAATTATAGCGTTTATGCATCTTGTCAATAGATGGCAATAA